GCTGTGGGCCCATGCTGGGGGCGGGGGAGGGGCTGTGGGGCCACGTGTATGACTTTGTGCCATGCCCCTGCAGTGTGATCCGCCTGATCATGCAGTACCTGAAGGAGAACAGCTTGCACCGAGCCCTTGCCACCCTTCAGGAGGAAACTACTGTGTCCCTCAACACCGTGGACAGTATTGAAAGCTTTGTGGCAGACATCAACAGTGGGCACTGGGACACGGTGCTGCAAGCCATACAGTCACTGAAGCTGCCTGACAAGACCCTCATTGATCTCTATGAGCAGGTGAGTGAGTGCAGGCTTCGTATGGAGTTTCCTGGTCTGGGTGTAAGTCCCTCTCTGGTGTTTTCCACTTCCCCTTTACTAATGCAGATGTTTGTCTCTTGATGCAGGTTGTGCTGGAGTTGATAGAGCTCCGGGAACTAGGTGCTGCCAGATCTCTCCTGAGACAAACAGATCCCATGATTATGCTAAAACAAACTCAGCCGGAGCGGTATATCCACCTTGAAAACCTTCTGGCCAGATCTTACTTTGATCCTCGTGAGGTATGTTATGCTTTCCCTAGAGAGGTCACACTGGTCTCTTGCATGACCCCTAACTTCAGTGTAAGGTGCTTACTGCAGCTTTTATTTTCCACTCTAGGAATAAGCACATGCAGCTTCCCAGTTTCATGATTTTGCATGTTTTACGAAGTGTTAGGGAAATTATTTGTAACACTTGATCACAAGGCAGTGGTTTTGAAGTATACTGCAGGTGGGAGTTTGGGGTTTTGTACCTGGGTCCTGTCACATGGGATGATGTCTGTGTTGTGCTTTTCTTGTCTTTATATATGCAGAAGAAAATGTACATTTTGTAAATAAAATTGTTGTATAATAATAAAGTTACTATTTCTGACTGATTATATCAGCCAGAAATTTGCAGTGAAAACATATTGCAAGTGTTTCAAGGGTTGGTGTTAAAAGGAAAGGTCTGTTCTGAAGGCCTTATAGGAAATTAATGTGGAAGGGGCTTCTGTTTGATGCAGTGAATGTTGTTATGGAAAATAGTTTAATAACTTTATAAAAATAATGTCTCTCTAGGCTTACCCAGATGGAAGCAGCAAAGAGAAGCGGAGAGCTGCTATTGCACAAGCTTTAGCTGGAGAAGTCAGTGTGGTACCTCCCTCTCGTCTCATGGCACTGCTGGGGCAGGTAATTCTTCAGAAATGTTTACTAGCTATGTCAGTTTCCGTGTGTCTTTGCCACATAAAACTGCCTGCGAGATCACAGTCAGTTTTATCTAGTTAATTCTCCGATTCTATGGAAGTAAAGCTTATGTACTGCACATTTACATGGGGTATAGTTAAAATTATATTTTCTCCATGTGGCAAGGATTTAGAGGTTTTATGAAAAGTCAGCACTCCAGGAGTAGATTTCTTGTCATAAAATAAATACTCTGAGTGCAGAGAAGTGTCTTTTCAAGGTACATACTTGTCCTGGTTTAAGCCCACCCTTTAACTCAGTAGCACACAGCCTCTCGCTCACTCCCCTTGTTCCCCCCCCCAGATCCTTGCAGGATGGGGAGGAGAATTCAAAGAATGTAAATCCCATGGGTTAAGAACAGTCCAATTTCTAAAGTATAATATAAAACTACCACTGCTGCTAATAATAGTGGTAAGGGAAGTAAGAAGGGGAGAGAATATAAACATAAAAAGGGATAGAAAAAAACCAACAACCAGCAGTGCTGCACAATACAATTGCTTACCACCCACTGACCAATGCCCAGCCCAATCCAAGCAGTGATCTGGGCCTTCCAGGTAACTCCCCTCAGTTTCTATGCTGGGCATGACGTGCTGTGGTATGGAATACCCCTTTGGCTAGTTTGGGTCAGGTGTCCTGTCTCTGCTTCCTCCTGGCTTCTTGTGCCTTTCCTCAGAGGAAGAGCATGACAGACTGAATAGTCCTTGGTCAAAGTAAACATTACTTAGCAACAACCAAAACATCTGTGTGTTATCATCCTTGTTCCCAGACTGAAGCCAAAACATAGCCCTGTGCCAGCTACTAGGAAGGACAAAAATAACTTATATTTGATCCTAGGGCAGTACTGTTTATGTTCTTGCAGCTCTTTTTATTCTTAGAATGTATTCTCTGATACTGTATGCAAATAGTCTTATGCATTTTTTAATTTTGTAAGTATCACGTTCTGTGACTACAAGCAGCTCCCTGAAGGGATTACAGAAGATTTTGTCTTTTGAATGAAGTTCACTTGTGCTTTCCTAGAAAGTGTATCTGCCATATCTAGTTTCAACGTATGCAGTTCTAGGCAAATAGATGATAGGTCAGGTAATTTAAAGGAACAAAAGGTAGAACTCACACTCTGTATATACTGTACACTGTGTACTGAAGGTAGAATGACAGGCATGGGCCTAAGTCATCCCCACTTGCCGAAAATACTTTGGGGATAATGTTCTGTACTGTTCGTGATCATGAGTTTGGAAGCACAATCTTGTTTCGGGTAATTGCAGTGTATTTGTCTCAAACAGTTCAGTGTATAATTTGTAATGGTACAAGGAATTGCTGTATTGTGTTAATTAGAAGCAAGCTTTGATGAGGAAGATATATGCTACTGATACCTAACAGTATTGCTTTCAACTCCTCCAGGCACTGAAATGGCAGCAGCATCAGGGCCTGCTTCCTCCTGGTATGACAATTGACTTGTTCAGAGGCAAAGCAGCTGTGAAAGATGTAGAAGAAGAAAAGTTCCCCACACAGCTGAGCAGACATATTAAGGTGATGTTGTGTTTGCTTTATGTTTGATGTATGTTGTTCTAGCTTATTCTTTTCCTGTCCTTTGTGTTAGGAAATAAGAGTAAACCTTCTGAATTCTTCAGTTCTCTTTCTTTGTAAATAATCTCTAGCTCTCCTTTCCTCCTCTTCCCCCTTTCTTCATGTCTATCATAAGGAGGCATTTCATGAAAGTCTGACGTGAGGTCCCTTAACAAGGTTGGGTGCTCATACTATTTGTGAATAGATACATGTTTTAATTGTTTCACTTCACAGTTCAGAATTCAATTTTCAGAAGTGGTTCTTTACTTCTGCAAGGCAGTACTCATGTCTTAAACTTCTGTGGGTGGTGCATATTAGGTTTTGTGCACCATTTAAGTTTTAAGCATATCAGGTCTACTAACAGGATCAGTACCTCCTTTTTAAGGATGTTATTATATATATAGCAAAAGAGAAAAAAAAAACTATGCTATAATGACATAGTAGTCCTGCAGTACTCCAAATGTGGAATAGGCAGCTTCCTCCTGTGAAGGTTTTTCAACTTCAAGCAAGAAGTGTTAGGTAACAGTTTTGCCAGTTCTCACAGTGAACGAAAGGGTTTGGTTTTCTTTGTTTGTTTGTTTTTGGAAGCACTCATATGTTGGTATTGAGAGAGTTTTTAGTACCTTAACCTTAAATTTGTGAATGCATACCTGTAGAAAATAGCATATTTTTGCCACCCAAATGAGTCTACATTTTTCTTTTAATGAGTCATTGTTTTAAAATTACTTATCAGGCTTAATTTATTTTCTATGAAACAGTTCGGGCAGAAGTCACATGTGGAGTGTGCTCGGTTTTCTCCAGATGGACAGTATCTCGTTACTGGCTCTGTTGATGGTTTCATTGAAGTGTGGAACTTCACTACTGGAAAGATTAGGAAGGTAAATTGTGCTTTATTTTATTCTCATGGACAGTTCATTGGCCAGAGCATCTGGTTTTACTCTTTGTTTTTTATACTTTGTTTTCATTTCATGGGGACTATGAATCTGTAAAGGGTGCTTGGTTGGGTGATTCAGGTACCTGTCTGAAATCTTTACATGGGTTCATTTGTCCAGTTTGTCATAAACTTTCTTCTGCGAAGGAAGAGGGATCTGGATCATCACTGTCACCTCTAAAATGGTGACAGTAGTACTCCCCTGTTATTACAAGGCTGTGAGGTCTACCTGGTGATGGGTTATAAAATACAGCTGAAGTTCGAACACTTAGTAATTTTACACTTTGCTTTAAAATGTTTAATTGAATTCTCTATTTTGACTGGTGGATCTTCTGCTTTTGTGTAGGATCTGAAGTACCAGGCCCAAGATAATTTTATGATGATGGATGATGCAGTGCTGTGCATGTGCTTCAGCAGAGATACAGAAATGCTAGCAACTGGAGCACAAGATGGAAAAATCAAGGTACCAGTCTTTTTCTACGATATGTTGGTAGGGATGATGACCAGAAAGATGCACTTCAGCTGCAGTGGTGTTGCAGTTCCTTCTAAAAACAAATTTAGTGTAGTTCAGAAACAGATATGTATTGGCTCTAATGTTTTTAAGCTTCTGTGATCTCATAGCAAAGTAACCACCTCTGTTTCATTTGCTGTTTCCTCTCAGGTTTGGAAAATTCAGAGTGGTCAGTGTCTGAGAAGATTTGAACGAGCACACAGCAAAGGCGTTACGTGCCTCAGCTTCTCTAAAGACAGCAGCCAAATTCTGAGTGCTTCATTTGATCAGACAATCAGGTAAATAAACTGCAAATGCGTGACCTACAATGCAGAAGAAAAGCTTCTGAATATGTATTGATTTGACTTGGGATTTGATCCTGTTGCACTGAGTTTTAGAGTACAGGAGAGCATGACTGCTGAGGGTTGGAGAGGAACAGTTTGAAAGTTTGACCTTGTGCAATCTGTATAAGGCAGACTATGTATAAATTATAAAATACCTTCATTTAGAAGATACCTCTAGAGGTCTCCAGTGCAATATGCTTCTCAAAACACAACTAGTCTTTCAGTTAGGACAACTTGCTCAGTCAGATCCTTGTCCAGCTGAGTTCTCAAAATCTCCATGGATGGAGACTCCACTGATTCTGGCATCTGTCCTAGGGCTGTACAATCCTGTTGGAGAAAATCATGTTTGGACATAAGGAAAGAAGTTTGTCTTGGTTTGTTTTACCTTTGTAACTTTTGCCATTTGCCTCTTGTCCTTTAGCTGTGTACCTCAAAGAAGAATCTGACTTAAAATTTATCAGGTGTTTAGTAAGGACTTAAATATCCTTTTTCTTTTCTTTTAAGGATCATTGTGGAGTGGATAAAATCAAGAAAGTTAATTCTAGCTTTTAATACTAGCAAATAGTCACAAGAATACTCAAACTCTGTCCTAATCTAAGTTACCAGATGGGCAGCAACCTCATCAATCCCTTCTTCCTGCAGCTTTTAGCATCTGGAAAGTATTACTTAACATTTGTGTAGTGCAGTAATTCTGATCCTGCACCTCTTTGGAATTTGCTTAATGCTGGGTAGATTTGGTTTGCAACAAAGTTCTTCTGTTGCTATGCAGTCACTTTGCTGCAGTTGAAAGTGGCTTAAATGAGTTTTGTCTGGTTTGGTTTCATTTCTTTTTTAGTGTTATTCTGACTTACTTAGTAATAATTGGTTTAACCTTTTTTGTTTACAAGGAAGACAGCAATTAGATGCTCCTGAATGTTAATTTCTCTGGGCTGAATGCACCTAGCCCTTTCACCCTCTCCTCACTGTTCTGTGGTGCTGTTCTCCGGCCATTTTAGTGACCCGTTAGTGGGGACCCAAAACTGGACACAGTCCTCCCAAGGTGACTACACTTCTGCCAAGTAGGGGGGAACCTTGATCTACAGACTCTGCCTCTCCTAGTGCATCTGTTTTGTTTCCTCAGTGCCACAGCACGCTGCCTGGCTTTCTCTTTGGTTTCCCTAAGGCCTGCCGGGTCCTTTCCTGCAGACCTCCTCTGTGGCTGGTCAGCCCCCGTTGATTCTGATGTCTGAGATGGTTCTGCAGTAATCTGCTCTCAGCATTGTGGAGCTGCTTTCAGTCCATCTGTCCAGTTTGTCAAGCGTTCAAACTTCCTCATCTGTCTTCCAAAATTGAGTTGCAGGATATGGGGTTTAGATTGTGAATCGGATTGATCCAGTGCTTGATGACTATATACATTTTATGTTCAACTGAATGGGATTGTGTAATACGTTCAATGGCATTAGGCTCCTGTAAAACCCAGTGTTGCCCAGTAATACTGCTGTAGATGAAGAGACACATGGGTCTGGAGGCAACTGCACTGGCATTATGAAACATCTTATTAAGAGATGTTAATCAGCTGAAATCCTGATACATATGATTTATAACGTAAGGATTTTAACTGAAATTGTAAGTTAAGATGTTGAATCAAGAACATCAAACTTAAAATGGAATAAGTAATTTCATTCTCAAGGCTTCAGACTTTGCTTGAAAACTATATTCCTGTAGCCAGTAGGTAGTACAATTTAAGGCTGATACAGATTGCCTCTATAATTTCATTTTAGGTGGCTGAGCAAATTCTGAAGAGTTGCACAGTAAGAGGCAATGGCAACAGCTTGCAAAAGAGAGAAAGTCTGGCTGGGTCCAAGGAGACAATTTGTCTTAACTGGACAGGGCTTGGTCAAGGCGCTGAGCAAACTGACCTTGGTTAGACTAGTGACTTCCAAACTTAATTCTGTAATTCTTCGTGTCAGCTTCATAGTTTCCCCTTAAATAGTCCTGTTACCTAATATGTGCAGTGTATATTACATACAGGTCCTTCAGGCTGAAGGTCGATGGTACTTTCCTAAGCTTTTTGTGGGAATACGAAATAGCTTTGAAAGGGGCTTGTGATAAAGACAGCTTCTGGATTTTTAGCGCTTTTTATTGTTACCTATCTCAGAAGTAAAGTACAGTGAAGCAAAAGGGTTGTTCACACTCCCTCAGGTGCTCACTCAGTTTGACCTTTCTTTGTGACAGGATTCATGGTTTAAAATCTGGGAAAACTTTAAAGGAATTCCGTGGTCATTCTTCCTTCGTCAATGAAGCTACTTTTACCCAGGATGGCCATTATATTATTAGTGCATCCTCTGATGGCACAGTGAAGGTAAGATAACATTTATTTACCCTTTCTATAAATAACATATTCAGACTTTTTGCATGTTGCAGCTTGTTTGACTGTTGCAGTCATTGGAGAAGGACTTTGGGTTATCTGCAGTAATAAGTCTTTCTGTTTGTGACCTTTGCTTTTGATGGCTGTAAATCAGAACAGATAAAGTTTCATACTGTGTTCACAGACTGCTGTAGAGTCTTTCTGCTGTATTTATGAAAGGGGGACCTAAGTGCAGTCCTTATCTGCCTGTTCCTGCTTTATTCTAGAAATAGATTTGACATCTATCATCCTAGAATGTGGGGATTCCTTGGTCTGAAATAACGGCATTTTCTGCTTACTGTGTTGGACGCATTTATTTCTTGGTGTCCCTTGCTGTGTAAGCTAGGTAATCTAGCATTAATAAAACTGACTGTGGGAGTGGCTTCTAGACTCAGCAAAGAGTGGAACTACCCAGTGTGTAGTAGTTAAAGAGGAGTAAAACATTATTGTGTACAGGGCATTACTGACTTATAATGAAAAAATAAATTAATACAGAAGTAGCCACGTTAAGTAGGGCATCGATGTAGTGCATGGAGGGGATGGGTGAACGTATGTGGTTTATAGATTTGGCCTACGAGAATATGATAGATCTTGATTGTAGTGAATGGGGTGTTACTTAAAACTTGCACTCTCTTGCTAGACTGCCTCAATCATGGGAGTAGAATAAGAGGTTGTTACCTTTCATTTTGACTGTACTAGGATGTAAATAGCAAAAATATTCCACAGATGATGAGTTACGTTTTATTTTAAATATTGAACAAGCAGCTGCATTTCCTGTTTCTAAACAGCTAGAACAGCCTGGTGCTGGGCCTGAAGCAGCTGGAATCTGGGATGTCTCTCCCACTGATATCAGTGAGGCTTGCTTTTTTTCCTGCAGTTCTTGTGTCTGTCTTGTGTAAGGCAAATTGCATGTGCAGAGACTGCACATATATTCACAGATACCAGTTAAAATAAGAAAGCAAGTCTGGACTCACCCCTTAGGGAATATGCTTAACGAAAGGGAGCCAGGCTGAATTTGGGTAATGGAAATTAACTTTCAGTTCAGTGGCAGTGAACTTGTTCGTGGTGTCCATGCTTCAAAATAGATATGATAACTTATTGTTTGGTGGGTTTTTATCTGCTTTAAACTACAATTTTTGGAATTCAGATTTCCATTCAGGAGCCTTAAAAAGTCTGAATCCTGAATCAGGGCTTTTTTTTTTTTTTTTTTTTTTCTTGTTTGTTTGTTTGTTCTTATTAAAGTTAATTGGTTTTGGATATCTTTCTTGTACTAGGTTTGGAATGTGAAGACGACAGAATGCTCCAACACCTTCAAATCTCTTGGCAGCACTGCTGGGACAGACATTACTGTGAATAGTGTCATTCTGCTCCCTAAAAACCCAGAACACTTCGTTGTTTGCAACAGATCAAATACAGTCGTCATTATGAATATGCAAGGACAAGTATGTGATGTTAATAGTGACCTTTCAAGTCTCTCTGTCTCACTTCTTTTGAGAATGCCCAAAACCTAGTTAATAACCTAGCCTTGGGTTAAACCCCATTTCTTCATTTGCTTTCATAAGAACTGTTCCGTACCCAGATTATAAAACAGCTTGACCTGCAGAAAGCAAATGTAGTTGTGGAAAGATACTGTGTTCTAAACAGGCCTAGTACTGCATAAATGTTTTTGTCCTGAACATAGTAATGAGGTGCTGTAGCTTAATCCTGTCAAATATTTTTGGGGGGGTGTCATTACAGATCGTAAGAAGCTTTAGCTCTGGTAAGAGAGAAGGTGGTGACTTTGTCTGCTGTGCACTTTCACCTCGTGGTGAATGGATCTACTGTGTTGGTGAAGACTTTGTGCTCTATTGCTTTAGCACAGTGACCGGCAAGCTGGAGAGAACTCTGACTGTAAGTTCTTAACTTTGAGGTTTTGTGGAGTTTCTAAACACAAGGATGCTTTAAATGCTTATGCTGTTACAAGTCTGTAAGGAGAAGTCTCGTACCGAGAAATCTTTCACTTCTAGCAGCCATGATTGGTAACAAATGCATTCTAGAACACTTGGCTGTAGAACGTTGTCATGCTTTAAGCCCAGTCGGTAACTCAGCACCACGCAGCCGCTCATTCGCACCCCTCTCCACTCCTCCTCCCTCAGTGGGATGGGGAAGAGTATTGAAAGAATGTAAATCCCACGGGTTGAGATAAGAACAGTCCAGTAACTAAACTATAATATAAAACTACTACTGCTACTTGTAAGGGAAGTAAGAAGGGGAGAGAATATAAAACTAAAAAGGGAAAGGTAAAAATTCTTGATAACCAGCAGTGATGCACAATACAATTGCTCACCAACTGCCAACCAAGACCCAGATCCGAGCAGCAATCTGGGCCTTCCGGGTAACTCCCCCCAGTTTCTATACTGGGCATGACGTGCTGTGGTATGGAATAGCCCTTTGGCCAGTTTGGGTCAGGTGTCCTGTCTCTGCTTCCTCCGGCTTCATGTGCTCCTCCTCCCTGGCAGAGCGTGAGACTGAAAGGTCTTTGGTCAGAGTAAATATTACTTAGCAACAGCCAAAACATCCGTGTGTTATCATCATTGTTCCCAGATGGAAGCCAAATCACAGCCCTGTGCCAGCTACTAGGAAGGACAAAAATAACTGTTACAGCTGAACCCAGGGCAGTGTCTCTTTTTAGAACCATTTTAATTAAAAAAGTTATGAAAATACTTATCCACAAAGCCAAGAGTGAATTGTTCACAACTTGAAATAGAGTATGTCTTGACCTGGGCTCTGTCTGATGAATAACCTGACCAAGCTGTCAATATTTAAAGCTGTTGGGTATGCCAGAGGGGAGAAGGAGGGAAGATACGTTCCTCTGCTTTTGCTGTATGCATAAAGCATGTTAAACCTCAGACCAGCTTTTCTCTAGTTCTTGTTTGAAGAGAATATTTACTAAAAGAAGAATCTCCTGATGCATCTTTCTGCTTATTCTCCAGGTTCATGAAAAAGATGTCATTGGCATTGCTCACCACCCCCACCAGAACCTGATTGCTACTTACAGTGAAGATGGCCTCCTCAAGCTCTGGAAGCCATAGCTTGATTTTGCAACAAGCTATTAAGTGTACCTGTTAATTGCAGGTTATTGGTGTTTGTGCTTTAACAAGGTCTTAATGCACAGAGTGTGATATTTGCTCCATTTTCAGTTCAGTTTTCCAGAGAATGACGTTTTTACTTCTTGGTCTAAATTTAGGTAGATTGATGCTTAAATATAGCATCAGTTAATTTCAGATACTTTTTATTTTTACCAGAGTAGCCGAAGCAACTTCAGTGAGTGTTTTTTCTGTCTCCTGAAGTCTGTACTCTTCCTACAGTGTTTATAATTGAATGAGCTAGGAACTATATACACTTAAAAATAAGTGGTTGCTGACTTCCTAGAATACAGTAAAATACTTCTTTTTTTTTTTTTTTTTTTTTTTTTTTTTTTTAGAGATTTCTGGTGTTTTCAAATTTAATTAAGTTAAATGAATTACATGGAATGGGGAAACGCTCTCTTCTCCACTGCAAGAGAGGCACAGTTTTCCTGGAATGCTACTCTATCCTTAGCTTGAAGGCAGAGGCTTTTCTAGTCCAGTGGGTTTTTCTGTATCCAGTATTCACGATATTTTTTCAAATTTTATATATATAAAGTAGTGTCACACAGCTTCCTTGGAGCCGAACTATTATTCCTCATCTCCCAGCACTTCCTGCTATAAACCTGCCTAATGTGACAGTGAGATATAGTGGGGCTTTTATTATGGGTGGCTTTTTGTTTGTTGGGGGTTTTTTTTGTCTTTGCCCTCTTCCTGTAAGTGCATAATGTCTTCAGACCATCTTTAACTGAAGTGAGCTGTGTGGGATCAATACTTTAAAACATGCAAAAGCTGGTTTGCATAGGCCAAGTTCCTAGTGCTCTGACACTGCACATGCTACAATTGCATTGGCCTTTTTTTACAGTTTACTTGGTTCAGTTTCCTATTTTCCCCAAAAGGCATGACATACTCTAAATAATTATTAGCAAGGTTTTTGTTTCATTTAAAAATTCCATGTACCTCTGAACCCAGTTGAGGTGATGATACTTGGGTCCCACACTGTGATAAACACTTCAGGCTCTTCAGTTTGGAGCAGATGGTGATCCTGTTTCAGATCCTGACTAATGCACTCTGTGGTGAATGTGCACAGGAATCTTCCAAAGTATGACCTGAAGCATTGCTTAAATTGGAACTAATTGGGCTGATCTTTATACAAGCGTTGGTTGTCAGCTAGTGTCAAGTGCACTCTCCCATGCACTTCATTGGTCTGTGTTAATACTTGTCTAAAGAGATGCAGAAAAAAAATCAGCTTTTGTTCACAACTGTAGAGCTTTGTTCTGTTTAGCTGTAATGTTTTAATTGCTAAGGTTTTTTTACTTCTCTCAATATTGCAATAAAATTGTTTTGTAGATAGCAAAAAGTGATTGTTTTTCCTGCCTGAAAAGACACCCACATGTCAGAAACATCTGACAGTGATATATCTGAAAACCTCCACTGGCAATTACTACTTGTGATACAGAAGATCTTGACACAATACTTTCAATGTTACCTGACCTGCCTTCAGATGATGCAAAACTGCTCATCCTAAATGCAAACATATTTTTCATTTTTCTTTGAAAGAGAAGTAGTTGTAGCAAAACCTGGAATCCTGGATGTTTAAACACTGAAATAGATTCTCTAGCTTAATGTGAGAAAATCTGGCATTTCTAATGATTGTTAAGAATTGTAGTTCATTGTGTCAAGTACTTGAGACAAAAGGTGAAATGTACTACTGCTTATGCAAGGGCAATGGTACAACTCCCGGGCTGCAGCTGTAATTAGCAAAACAGCTGGCAGTTGGCACAAACATAGCACGGTGATCTGAATGTTAATTTATTCTTTTTTAAATCAAAAACTGCATTTTTCTTTCTTTTTAATGTTAATGTTAAAATTTTTAATGTAAATCCAGGAGGACATTTTCTCTCTGGCAAATCAGCCTGGTGTTACGCAGCTTCCCCAGATGCAAGACTTGAACAAGGCCGCATCTAGTGGTTTAAGTAACATTAAAGCAAACATTGTTCACCTTTGTTCGTTCCTTTGTCCTTGAAATACTTTGCTTGGAGCTGGTGAGGGCCATCATACTTAGAGGAGCACAAAGTGCTCAGCGGGAGGAGGGCCACAGGGTGACAGCCTCGTATGTCAGTTCATCCTCCTATGTCTGGACTGAGGATCAGTTAGTGAATTCCAGCCTGGGTTGGGTGGAGTTGGGTGCGTGTCTGCATGTTCTCGCAGGCTACACGTGAAGGAACTACTGCCATCTCAGTGAAAATAAGTGATCTTGGGTCCTGCACCACCAACACAATGTGGTTACATCCACATTGGGTGGGTGTCACGTTTTTATGTCACAGAACGTGTGAGCCTGTAGATACGATGTCTGCCACTAGCAGCTTGTAATCTGCAAATGTAAATCAAACCCTCCCTTGACTCCCTCTACAATTTAGAGGAGACCAGCTAAAAACTGAAGACCTGGTCTCAAAGATCTTCTGCAAGTCCTATAAAACCATCAAACTCTCTTGAGGTTTGAGAGACTGGGCATCTCCATGGGTGAATCCATGATATTGGTGAGGGATTTGAACCATGAGCATGGGGGAGAGGGCTGGCCTCTGGCTCGAGGCAGCTTGGTAACAAGAGTGTTCATTTGAGGTAAGAAGAAAGGAAGTATGTTGCTGAGATTTGTCGGAAAGATTAAGAGCATTTAAAATTGACTTCTAGCATCGAGCACAGCTTTTCTTAACTTTCCTGCCTCATGTCTGCATGGCTTTTGGGAGTCCTTAAACATGGTTACTTCATCTGCACTTCGTGTTGGTGATGTGGGCAGCAGTATGTTCACTGCATAGCTGTAAATAAGCCCTATGACCTGGACTATAACCCTCTTGCACTGGGGAGCCCCAAACCAGACACAACACTTCCAGGTATGGCCTGAAGAGCTGAGGAGAGGGGAAAGTGCTGAGGAGAGAAGGATCAACTCCCTTGACATGCTTGCAGCTGGGATACCGTCAGCCTTCTTCCCAAAAACAGCACATTGCTGGCTCATGCTCAATTTGGTGTGCACCAGGACTCCTGGGTTTCTTCTCTACCCTGCTGCTTCTCATCTGGGTGGCCCCCACCATGTCCTGGTGCCTGGGGTTGTTCCTCCCCAGGTGC